CCCTAAACCACCATCCAACCACACTATTTCACCCTAAACCACCATCCAACCACACTATTTCACCCTAAACCACCATCCAACCACACTATTTCACCCTAAACCACCATCCAACCAAACTATTTCACCCTAAACCACCATCCAACCACACTATTTCACCCTAAACCACCATCCAACCACACTATTTCACCCTAAACCACCATCCAACCACACTATTTCACCTCAAACCACCATCCAACCACACTATTTCACCTCAAACCACCATCCAACCACACTATTTCACCTCAAACCACCATCCAACCACACTATTTCACCCTAAACCACCATCCAACCACACTATTTCACCCTAAACCACCATCCAACCACACTATTTCACCCTAAACCACCATCCAACCACACTATTTCACCCTAAACCACCATCCAACCACACTATTTCACCCTAAACCACCATCAACCACACTATTTCACCCTAAAACACCATCAACCACACTATTTCACCCTAAAACACTTTATAAAACTTTAAAAACACACAATAACACACAAAAATTATGTGATATTTATCACAAGTATTGACAAGCGCATGAATTGTTGAGGCCAGCATAATGAAACAAAACAACACTGAATAAAACAATCTGCTGGCAATCAGCAGCGGAATCATCTTACCGTTAAACGGCTGAGTTAAATTCTAGATCACATAGCCAAACTCTGATAGTCCTTTCTTAACCTTTCCTTGTGTTTATTCATATTTTGAATGCATCACGCAGTTATCGCGGCTAAAAATAGCATCATTTGAATTCGAGGACATTATCCCAACAGATAAACAAATCTCCTCAAAAGATAATAGACTGCTGGTTATTTCTGTACGCTAATCAAGTCTTTGTACTGGCGGTCACGTGATGATCGCTACTGATGACGTCAGTGTGTGAAAAGATCATGATGTCATTAATCCCCGGTGGAGAAAGCTCATGAGGTCTTCATTTACAAAATCATGTTTGAACTTTACTAGCTGACAAGTCCGCTAAAAGTAAACTTTGTAAGCTGACAAGTCCGCTAAAAGTAAACTTTGTTAGCTGACAGTCCGCTAAAAGTAAAGTTTGTAAGCTGACAGTTCGCTAAAAGTAAACTTTGTAAGCTGACAGTTCGCTAAAAGTAAACTTTGTAAGCTGACAAAACAATATTTTCAATGTGCTGTTCTCAACTTGAGGGGATCTGTTAGGCCAAGATAACCTTTTTTTAACATCTCAAACCGTCCAGAATTAGTAGCGAAAAGGCTCTAAAGATCAACTAGAAAATAAATCTACAATTAATTTTTATATAGCGGGTGCCGTTTTGTTAAATATGGTCTTTTCGGGACAATGAGGTAAATTCAAGAACGTATGTAGCAAAGGTACTTCGTCAGGAGAATAGGTAAATTCAAGAACGTATGTAGCAAAGGTACTTCGTCAGGAGAATAGGTAAATTCAAGAACGTATGTAGCAAAGGTACTTCGTCAGGAGAATCTGTTACAAAAGCTGAATTTTCGTAACACCCTCAGCAAGCGTCGTATATTATACAGTTGCAGCTAACATCATATATCGAATAGCTGCAGCTAACGTGATATACCAGGAGTAACTACGGCATGGGTTTTATGCCATATAGCTGCAGCAATAGTTCAATATCTGGACCATCTACAGCAATACTGTATATCAGGAACATCTGAACTAAAGTTGACTAAAGTTGAATGTCACCCATTGCGCATGTCACCAGCAAGTAGAAAGTTGAGAGAAGGAGAAATCAGTGCCCCCCCCCCCCCCACCCCCCCACTCCCTTTAAAAAAACGTGCCCTCCCTTCAGTTCAAGGAAAACCCGATCAATTCACTAAAATCAAGCTTTCAATCGTTACAAAAAGTATCCTTCGCCATAAAAAAAGTAGCTACTCTAACTAAATTAAATTATTCAACGAATTAAAAAAAATAGTCTAACACATTAGAGAAATTTCTCCTTTTCGCTGAAATAAATTATTTACCCACGATGAAATTAGTCTAGGCTATTACAGAAATTAGTTAATCACAACTAGATTGCTTTAATTAATCTCATCTAGAAAGATGTAGTTAATCCCATTCAAAAGATTTAGTTAATCCAACAAGAAATATTTAGCTAATCCCAATTTCAGTTAAATCTATAAAGATTTAGTTAATCCTAGCTTGAGAAATGTAATTAATCTAATCTAGAAAGATAAACACACAATCTAGATGGGTCTGGGCATTGAACTTAATAAGAAGTATTTTTATCAAAGCATTAACGTCTTGCCTATAGATGGAGACAAGCTTAACATTAGATGGCCTATTGAGGTACAAAGGTGATGTCTGTTGAAGAATTCACTCCCAAACAATAACCTCCCCACACCCAATGCAGACAACTATTTATGTGATACATTTAACAGAAAGTTTAAAAATAAAAGAATATTTTTTTTAAAGGAGAGTACAGACCAAGACCCGCTACTCTGGTAGATAAGACCGTGCTAAGGGAGACTACTTTGATTTTATTCATTGAATTATTGATAGGTAGTGGAGAAACATTTCGTGACCTTGAAATAGGAAACAGATTTTAGAGAAACCATTCTCTGTTTGGTCGATTTGTTTGTTTGTGTGTTCGTCTATTTTTTTCCGACTGAGTCGGTGGATTGTCTCTGTGTGTGTCGGTCGGTGTGTGTGTGTCGGTTGGTGTGTGTGTGTGTGTGTATGCCAGTTTTCTGCGCATCATTTTTCGCTTGCATGTTGATACAAGTCAGTGTGTCGCCATATGAGTGTATGTGCCATCAAACAAGTAACTCTGTCACCACACACAAGTCTGTGTCACCACTCGATTATATAGGGTACCACACAATTATGTGTCACCACACAAGCGTGTGTCACCACACAATAATGTGTCACCACATGTGTGATCTCTAAACAAATGTGAACAATCTTGTCACCAACCAATTGAGGTTCACTCACAATAACATAGAATGATCACTACATCACTACATTCTTCCCAACACTGTTATAGTGGTGTAAAGTGTATCAATAAAAGTATGTGTAATTAACGCAGAACAGATTATTGCTTACCTAATATTCTCCTCGTGATTCGGATATAGGTTGTGTTGGTCAGTCTTGTATTGATCTATGGAATAGGACAGTCTGAAAGTGTATTGATCTATTGTATTGGTCAGTCTGAAAGTGTATTGATCTACGGTAACAAACACCGGAAGCAATAATCCGATCACGGCATCGTAAAGTGTGGAGGCGATCGTTCGATTTTTGTCTCTAGTCACGCAACTATGGCAGTTTGGCGTCCTTCACCCAGATATACCATGTAATCTTCATCCAAATATACTATGTGACCTTCACACAGATATTCCATGTAACCTTCACCCAGATATACTATGTGACCTTCACACAGATCATAATTTGTATGTGTCCTCCACGTGCAAGTTTTTATTCAAACTTTGTCTATCAGCCAATGCCATTTTGCCGTCAATGTGATACTTACATCGAAACTCTGTTCCACGTCTTCACCAAACGCTGCAGATAGAGATTTGTCATTTTTTCAAAGTACACCGGCCTTGTGAAAAGACATATCCTATAATGCTCATTGTTTGTTCTATAACCATACAACACTTTTTTTCTTTAACAACATTAAAATCAAATTTACCGATAACAAAATTACAATCGTGTTTGTTCTTTAACTACATTGCAACCTGGTTTTTTTCTATAACCATCAATCGTGTCTGTTCTTTAACCGCCTTACATTCTTTTTATTTCTACAACTGCATTAGCCCCCCGCGATGCGTCTGTTTATTCCAAGTCCAATATTTCATTACATCGTGAGCATCTCACCTCTATCATTCAGTTTTAATTAAGTTCCCGTATTAAAAATATGCATGGAGCCATTGATCAAACAAACGGACGACAGTCAAGTTTTTCATAAAACCAGCGGTCGTCTGCTTGCACTGCCGTGTCCGCCATTGTTAGCTTGGAGAACAAAGTTCGAATGTTCTCGAAACGTTAACGAGTTCGCCATGGGTGCCGGCTAAAAATTCCAAATGACATAAGAAGTTTTCTGAGGCGAGTTGAGGGTCAAAACAATGGGATAGGGAAGTTTTAAAAAATCTTTCTTTCCATCCATTTCTCTCTCTCCCTCCTCTTTCTCGCTCCCCTATCCCCCCCCCCCCCCATTACATTTACGTCATCATTATCTTTTCCCTTTTGTACCCAAGACACACGGGGCCGTTATAAAAAGCTATTTCCACCCCTGCCTGTTTTCATGGCAGTCCCCCAAGATAGTCCCCCAAATATATATATATATATATATATATATATATATATATATATATATATATATATATATATATATATATATAATATTTTCAGATAAAATTATGCCATTACTAATCAATATTTAATTATTCTTTCAGAGAAGTAGCCTGCCTGACACAGTGCTACAAACACATCTGTACATCAACATATTTGGCCTACTACGTACCCTGCACTGTCCACAATGACACATGGAGTCAAAGTTCATGACCTCTTTCGTAAGAACGGTGTGGTGGAGATTCTCAAAAGTTAATACCTTTCTTCTGTGACCTTGGACCTCTTTATTTTCTAAGGCTGGAGGACACATCTTTCCGATTTCTAAATATAGCTGCATTTAAACTGAAGTGTTTAGTGTAGTGATAAAAACCTAGTTTTCTCATTACATCGTCATTACAGTGTGGTTAGCATTTGATGACTGTTTACGCTGCTCTGCTGGTGGACAGTCGCTCAGAATGTGTGCTGTTGTGTGCTGTTGTGTGCTGTTGGTGAACTAACTTCTGGACGTTTATTTCTGATGTGGACGTCCATGTATTATACACTATCTGGACGTTAATTTATTGAGTAACGTCTTTGTATCATACAATATCAGGACGTTAATTAATTGTGACGTACATGTATCATACAATCTCTTGACGTTTATTTCTTGTGAGGACGTCCATGTATCATACAATATCTGGACGCTAATCTCTAGTGTAACGTCTATGTATCATACAACCTCTAGACGTTGATTAATTGTGACGTACATGTATCATACAATCTCTGACGTCACCATGGACCTGTATGTAAACAGCCTGTCCAACCAGTCGGCCATGTTGGATGACGTCACCAACCAGAGTGAGCCGTCACTGACCAACCACACGGAGTACCCCACATACCCCACACCATTCGGTGTCCTGTTCTACAGGTACATGTTCATCGTCATCTACAGCGTCATCTTCGCTACCTGCGTCATAGGTGAGTCATTTTTTAATTACCGCGTCATAGATACATCTTTTTTTTCTACCTGATTCATTCGTTAGTCATTTTTGCTTACCTTTCTTATTGGTAAATCATTTTTAATCAGTGTTATAGGTAGGTCATTTTTTTTAAATAATTGTCTTCGCTACCCTTGTCTTAGGTATATTATTTTGAAAAGAGAAATTTTAATTTAAAATGATAATGGTAATTATTGCCAAACTTTTACGATAACATCGACTGTTCATGATTTATTTATCTAAATTGATAAATTGTATATATATATATATATATATATATATATATATATATATATATATATATATATATATATATATATATATATATATATATATCCATGTATATATCGTAGAGCGATCACACGTGATAATATTTGAGTTACTGTGTTTACCTTACTTGAAGTGTGCTTGTTTACTTTGTTCAGTTCTCTTAATTGTAGTTCTCTTAAACAAAGAAGCTACGTGATTAGTAAACTGCCTTCTTTAACACTATTTGATACTTCATTACTGGTTTGACCGCACACTATTTAACATCCGCAGCCAATGCTGTGAGGGTCCAACACTTTCAACAGACCCGCTATTTGCTCCCCAGATATTATATTCCTAACAATTTATTTCCATCAATGCAGAAAAAAAATGTCTGTACCATAGAAATCAATTATTGATGTGCAAGTAATAACGATAACTCAATAGATACTTGAATTTGTCCTACAGTTCATCAGTGTAAGATTTATCTCCACTGTGTAGAGTTCCGTCCCCTTGGCACAGCTAACGTAATAGTTGTACAAGAACATAGATTTGAATTATAGAAATGACGATGAATAAATGGTCCCTATGAGTGATATTGGCTGCTTCTCCAAAAGTAAAAGACGGATATAAAAAAGACAAATCCACCAGAGGAAAAATGTTTTGGTATAAAATTCCGGCTTTTGCTTTGTTGGTTTTTAGAACGGGGAGGTTATGACCCACTTGGATATAATGAGCTGTTAATTAGTTGTAGGAAAAAAGTAAAAAAAAAATGGGTAGTGTATTCATGCATAGTTAGCTATTATTATGATCAACGCTCTTTAATTAAGTGAACACTGTTTTTTTTAATTATCTAATCATGTCTTACGTCAGTGTTTGTGAGGGTCGAACTTTAGGCTTACCTCCCTTTTAAACATCATTCATCACAATCAGCTGGGTCCATCTTTAGGCTTACCTCCCTTTTAAACATCATTCATCACAATCAGCTGGGTCCATCTTTAGGCTTACCTTCCTTTTAAACATCATTCATCACAATCAGCTGGGTCCATCTTTAGGCTTACCTTCCTTTTAAACATCATTCATCACAATCAGCTGGGTCCATCTTTAGGCTTACCTTCCTTTTAAACATCATTCATCACAATCAGCTGGGTCCATTTTTAGGCTGACCTCCCTTTTAAACATCTTTAATCACAATCAGCAGAAAATGAAGACGTCATCAAATTGAGCCCAGTTCTAATGTGTCTCCACTCTACATAAGTGTACCTGTAATCTTTCATACACTAAAATTGAACAAATATTCTAACGACATTTGGGCAACGTAATACAGAATGTTGAGTGTAGGTCATCTTAAATCTAGTCTGTCCAGCTCAGGATGAGATTGTGACAGTGATATCAATGTAACACATAACTATAGTAAACACAAAACCGTCACAATGTCTAGTCAGCACATAATGTTTGTGATAGTTACATCAGAGTATACAGTAATTATAGTAAACACAGAACAGTCACAATGTCTAGTCAGCACATAATAAGTTTGTGATAGTTACATCAGAGTATACAGTAACTATAACAAGCTACATCAGAGTGTACAGTAACTATAGCGAGCTACATCAGAGTATACAGTAACTATAGTAAACTACATCAGAGTTTACAGTAACTATAGTAAACTACATCAGAGTATACAGTAACTATAGTAAACTACATCAGAGTATACAGTAACTATAGTAAACTACATCAGAGTATACAGTAACTATAGTAAACTACATCAGAGTATACAGTAACTATAGTAAACTACATCAGAGTATACAGTAACTATAGTAAACTACATCAGAGTATATAGTAACTATAGTAAGTAGAGAACAGTCACGGTGCCAATGCTACATTAGGTGGTGGGGCTATCAAGGGATATTTTGTGTAAGACAGAGACGTGTGTCGAGGGAATATCCATCACGGATTTATTGAACCGGTGGACATTATCAAGCGAGACGACAAAATGTCGCTTTATTACCTCCATCTTTAGCGCGTGTTTGCCTTCCTCTTGTTAAGGTAAAGGTCACAACGCTGCATTAGGGAGGGGCTTGACTCGAGATGGTCCATACCCCGCCCACTTTAATCACAGAATAAAAAGCGCCCATGAAAAGGGTTGATTCTTTGGACACCAACATAAAACGTCCATTAAGCCTTCGTTCGTACACAATTATTTTAATAAACACATTAACGAACGATCGCACGTCTTTAAACAATTGAGCTATGAAATCAGCGCCTCCATTTCCTTCCTTAATGTCTTTTCCCTCTACGGGGTTATGGTCCTTGTATTGACTAGGTCGTGTTGAGCGGTGGCGACAGCGGGTACCACACATTTAACCTGGCTATTTGATCCACACATTTAACCTGGCTATTTGGTGCACACATTTAACCTGGCTATTTGGTCCACACATTTATTTAACCTGGCTGTTTGGTCCACACATTTAACCTGGCTATTTGGTCCACACATTTAACTTGGCTATTTGGTACACACATTTAACCTGGCTATTTGGACACACATTTAACCTGGCTGTTTGGTCCACACATTTAACCTGCTATTTGGTGCACACATTTATTTAACCTGGCTATTGGCCGTCCAGTAATGTTCAATGTTTGAAAAGATAAACTGTACTGCCCCCCCCCCCCTCTTCGCGAACAGTCAGACACGATTATAATCTACTTACTGCAAATGTTTTTTGTTTTAGTACAATGTTTCCTTCATTCTGGGATTTGAATAGATCATAGCTAGAACAACTAAACACTTTTAGTCAAAGTAGAGAAGACACTGGACAAAATGGATGTTTCTAGCAGTACCCGGGGCAGATGACGTAGAGTGAACGAGTTTCGATAACCTTGACATATTTAATAGGTGAGGCCAAGGCCATGCTCAACCTATTTACTTTCTAAGACCGCCCCCCCCCCCCACCCACTCAGCAGCCTATCAGAGCTAGATGGACAGCGACAATGATAGTTAAATGAATCTTTTGAAGAAAACGTAATGGGAAGTTCGCTGATGGGTCTGTTGTACAAACTGGTGGGTGTTTAGAGGCACCATGGTATCGAGGCTTAAGAAACAAGTAATTCACCGTATAGAGATTATAGACCTCCCACACAGACAACTATACATACACTAATGTAACAGGGGATCTCTTTAGAGCACAATCTGAAAGAACTCGTTTCATGTCAACAATGTGACGTAGATCCCGTGGTGGGCCTTTATTGCAGGTTGGCGGTTTATAGTAATAGACACGATAGGGAGAGTTCATTGAGAGACCCACACAATACAATTTGGACTTTAACAGACATACACAATACGGTAGGGACAGTTCATTGAGAGACATACACAATACGGTAGGGACAGTTCATTGAGAGACATATACAATACAGTTTGGGCAGAGTTCATTAACAGACATACACACTACGGTAGAGAGAGAGTTAGTTCATTGACAGACATACACACACAACGCTTTAGGGATAGCTTGTTAAGAGACATAATGATACACCAGGATAGGGACACCGGACATATATTACAAAATATGTGCAATACTGTTACGGTGTGGTGATATGGTAGAACGTACGACTGCCAACCTGTAAGTCTTAAGTTCGCAACCTTGCTCGAGTCTATTGACGCACTCAGCTCTAATGGGTACCTGACATATGTTAGAGAAATTAAAATTGGCTGGGCATAGTGTTGATCACACAAGCTTTCCATCGGCCTACAATACGATAGGGACACCAGACAGAGATATTTCTGTACAAAACACGACAATGTTGGGATGGGGGTGTCACACACAGAATGGACAAAAAAATTTCATTACAAAACACATACAATACGATATGGGAAAAGGACAGATATATTAAATTACAAGACATACACAATATAAGATAGGCAGATATATGACAAGTACACACAATACGATAGAGACATTAGACAGATTTCTTAATACAAAATAAACACAATATGATAGACATGTTTTATATTACAAGACACATACAACTGTCAAGAGTACAGATTTGTTGCATGTGTTGTATTTATGGCTGCCATTGTCTTTCATCCAATCACCTTGTTTTCATATCGCCTTCTACCACTGCACTTTCCCGCGAGATTACACGCAAGAAGACGTTCCACAATCCGCCCCTGGGGGGTTTGTGAGCATGCTAGGGCCTGCTAAAGTACGAACATGAGGCTACAGGGTTTTAAAGCTGCTGTTTGCCATTCGGCTTTGTAACATGAGCTTGTGTATGCTCCCAGAAAGCAAGAGTTCGATCTTTGTTGTCCTTTGGACGATTGGGTTTCAGATGATGATTATATAGGTTAATTGATACACGTGTGATTAGTTAATTAAAAGGCGAGGAATATAAATAGCGCATGTAAAACACAGAGCATACAAAAAAATGTGAATATAAAGTACAGTAGATAAGAACCACATTGTATAAAATATGGTAGACACCAGTGGACACATGTTGTAAATAGTGTATGATTTTATAAAGTTGTTAAAGGCTTGTGAAATATTGCAGATATTAGACCATTTACTTTTTGAGATGGTGTGTGGTACTATGTGAGGGGTGTGTCAATGTAGAGTTGATTAAGGCTGAGAAGATGAGAAAATCAAATTTCTTAAATATGTGTTTTTAATATCCCCCCACACCCCCTCTCTCACCCGGCCCACCCCTCCCTGTAATGCTTTGTGAAGCACCCACACATATGTG